TCCAAAGTGGTAGTCAAATTTTAAAGCTCCAAAATGATCTCCTTTGACTCCAGGTCACACTGATGCAAAAGGTGTGGTTTTGCAGGGTACAGCCTCCCTCCTGGCTGTTTTCATGGGCTGGTATTGAGTGCCTGTGGCTTTCCAGGCAGATGGCACAAACTGCCAGTGGATCTACCATTCTGGGGTCTGGAGGATGCTGGCCTTCTTCTCACAGCTCCACTAGGCAGTGCCCCAGTAGGGACACTGTCGGGTCTCCAACCCCACATTTCCCTTCCACATTGCCCTAGCAGAGGTTTTCCATAAGAGCCCTGCCCCTGCAGCAAACTTTTGCTTGGGAATCCTGGCATTTCCGTACTTTCTGAAACCTAGGGAGAGGTTCCCAAACCTCATTTCTTGATTTCTGTGCACCAGGTGGAAGGCTCAACACCATGTAGAAGCTTCCAAGACTTGGGGTTTCCACCCTCTGAAGGGAAAGCCTGAGCTCTAGGCTAGCTCCTTTCAGCCACTTTCAGCTCCTTTCAGGCTCCTTTCAGCTGGTATGCAGGGCACCAAGTCCCTAGCCTGCGCATAGCACAGGGACCCTGGGCCCGGCCAATGAAACCACTTTTTCCTCCTGGGCCTCTGGTCCTGTGATAGGAGGGGCTGCTGTGAAGGTCTCTGACATGGCCTGGAGACATTTTCCTCATGGTATTGGGGATTAATATTTGCCTCCTTGCTACATATGCAAATTTCTGTGGCTGGCTTGAATTTCTCCTCAATGTTTTTCTTTTTTATATCATCAGGCTGCCAATTTTCTGAACTTTTATGCTCTGTTTCCCTTTTAACATGGAATGCTTTTAACAGCACCCAAGTCACCTCTTGAATGCTTTGCTGCTTAGAAATTTCTTCTGCCAGATACCTTAAAAAACCTCTCTCAATTTCAAAGTTCCACAAATCTCTAGGGCAGGGGCAAAATGTCACCAGTCTTGTTGCTAACACTTAATAACAGTTACCTTTGCTCCAGTTCCCAACAAGTTGCTCATCTCCATCTGAGATTACCTCAGTCTGGACCTTATTGTTGATATCACTATCAGCATTTTTGTCAAAGCCATTCAACAAGCCTCTAGGAGGTTCTAAACTTTCCCACATTTTTCTATCTTCTTCTGAGCCCTCCAAACTGTTCCAACCTCTGCCTGTTACCCAGTTCCAAAGTCACTTCCACATTTTCAGATATCTTTTCAGCAACAGCCCACACTACTGGTACCAATTTACTATATTAGTTCATTTTAACACTGCTGATAAAGACATACCTGAACCTGGGAACAAAGAGAGGTTTAATTGGACTTACAGTTCCACATGGCTGGGGAGGCCTCAGAATCATGGAAGGAGGTAAAAGGCACTTCTTACATGGCAGTGGCAAGAGAAAAATGAGGAAGAAGCAAAAGTGGAAACACCTGATAAAGCCATCAGCTCTTGTGAGACTTATTCACTATCACGAGAAAAGCACGGGAAAGACCAGCCCCCATGATTCAATTACCTCCCCCTGGGTCCCTCTCACAACATGTGGAAATTGTGGGAGATACAATTCAAGTTGAGATTTGGGTGGGGACACAGCCAAACCCTATCAATTCTCATTTAATGTTAAGATCCTCTCCTGTTTCAACGTTGCAGTGTTATTCTCCCAGGAAAGGCAGAACCTCTGAACACAGTGTTCACCTACTTTTTACTCAGGTTTACCCAAGAAGATTCGTTTTCAAAAGAGACCACTTGCTTAACAAAGCTACTAAACAGTCATGAAAAAGCACTACAGCTGCCCCCTTCTAAATGGCAGGTGTTTCTTTCATGATCTACGTTTTATGCCAAATGCAAGGAACTTCCCCTCTGGCTGCCCCTCCTCACATTTTTGCCATCTCCTATCAGTCTCCCCAGATCTGGCCCATCCTTCATAGTCCCATTCTTGTTCAGTCAGCCCCTATGCACTTTTCACTCTGTTGCTTGTGCTTGATTCCATTTATTCCGGTGGGAATGATCAAATCAGAGAGAATTCCTGGCTGGGCTCTTTCACCTCCAGGAGTGAAAAGCCCATTCTGTGCAAGTGGGCTCCAGGTATCCGGTGAAAGCCTGCTCTGGAATGTGAATGGTCAGTGCATTACAAAGGAGGGCGCAAGGAGTGGAGTGAACAGTTCGCCCTTTTGCTATGGAACTTTAATGCAATCAGGGAATACTTGACTTGAAACAAATGCTAGCTGAAAACAGTTGTATTTCATTTTGTCTTTATTATTTTTTAAAACTTTGTTGAGAACCCCAGAAAGAAGATTTGGGGGATGGGATTGATCTGTTCTGACCAGAATGCTGAATCCCAGTGATTTCCCCAGATTAAACCAGGCTCCAGGAAGACAGCAATTTTCTTATTGCTGCAGTATCTCAAAAACACTAAAACAGCAAGTTTATTGAATGCCTATTTTGAAGCAAGGCTAGTGGGAAATGGAAAGAGACAAAGATGAAAAAGACATAATCCATGTCCTCCAGGAGTTTACAAGCTAATGAGAGAACCAGTCGTGTAAATATGGACACAAAGTGGATTAGATGTTTATTATATAATATGGTTAAAGTGTGGCCCCATGGGTCTCAGAGACCCTCTTGAAGGGTTGAAAGGTCAAAACTATTTTCATAATTACACTAAGACATTACCTTACTTTTCCAGAGGCTACGGGATGTATGCTAATGCCACTGCCCTGACTGCTAATAGAATGTATGCTTATGTATTCTTGAGTTTTAGAAAAAAATCCTCAGTCTTAATTTCTAATGCATCAACTGCAATAGCAATATCAATAGGTAAAACCTGCACAGGCAAAAGTTCTTTGAGGTCCTTGGAAATTATTAAGAGTATACAAGGGTCCTGAGACCAAAAATTTGAGAACTGCTAAGATTTAATGCATCAACTACCATTACACAGTGTGCTTGTTTCTCATTAATGCATTTTATATAACAATTATTTTATCTAATCCCATGAAAATCACTTTATTGGATGCTTTTGACATATCCTTATTTTCTAGCATCGTAGCTATTAGGTCATCTAATTATTAATCTGTTTGTGTCTTTGGGTTTAAATGTGTCTTTTGAGGCCACACAATGTTGGACTTCATTTTTTAATGGAGCCAACAATCAGCAATTGTTAATGCATTTGCTTTGTTTTCTATTACTCTGCAGTTTATCTTACTCATTGTTATTTTTGCTTTCTTTAAATTTATGTTTTCTTAATGGACTTTAAAATTCATTATTTCTTTTTTATGTCAGACAATAAAGGTCCCTAGTCTGCCCATCTTTCTATCATTTCAGCATCATCATATTTCAAAATAACTTTTCATTGTTTCCTACAATTTTACTATTAATAGTATAGGATTAAGAAAATAAACCTTATCTGGGTTCTGGCTGGCACTTCCTTTCCTCTAGGGATGAAAACGGAGTCTAGTCTGTAATATATCTTGCTATCATGCATATCTTTATAAAATTATACAAATGTATCTTACAGTTCTAAAGGCATGTAATCTAATTTTTACTTGAATTTTATCTTTTTTCTCTTTTTGTCCTTCATAGACCTCGAGCTCTGTCTAGCCCTCAACTGTTCTCAAATCTCCATTGTTTTCTACAAGTGACCCTCACAGCTGTGAGCCTTTGTTGACAAATTGTTTCATCTCCTCTGGGTCTTCAATTATTTTTTCTTACTCTAAAGTGAAAATTTGATGAGTGTTTCCAGATACTGCACTTGGAATCATAACTTAATTTCCCTTAACCTTGTGTAAATTCTGTCCCCCACTACTCCCAACTCCTATTCCTCCTCCAAAGCACTGATACTTATTATCACATTTAAATTTTTTCCCTGCTCTACTGATAACTTACAGAACGCAGGATTGCATTGTGATGGGGTAATTTCCATGATTTGATTGGTTGGTTTTGAGTTGAAAAACTTAACAATGATACAGCTTAAATTCTTTGAGGATTGTTCCTTCATGAATTCATGCTACGGACATACTGAGGTGGTTATTTTTATATTCCCTGATAATAAATTCTAAATTGCTAGGGGTTTCTCACCACCCTCATCCTTTTACTGTTACTAGATCTATTTTTAGCTGGTGTGGGCGTCCCCAGCTAGTTTCACTTGCCTAATGCTAGTTCTTTTTTCTTCTACATCAGGTCGCCTCTTCCTAGCATCTTCTCCATGCTTCTTGTTCCTCTACAGAATTTACAAGACCCAGTTTAATAGTTTTGTGCTTTTTTTTGTCACTCATTATTTCTTCTTTGTTCTCTGTTAAAGTAATAAGTGTACGATCCATTGCACTTGCCTTAGAGTCTTGAACCAGTCTTGGATTTCCCGCCATCTGGGTTCTGGCTGGCTTGCAATTTCTCCTTTGATGTTGTAATACTTTTTCATTGAACTTGAGTGTGGGGCTTATAGAGCTTGTTTGCTTTCATTATTTTTTCCCAAAATGTGCACATTTTTTTTCTTAAGCTTATTTTGCTGTTTTGTGCTGTTATTTTTAATTGCTTCCGACTGGGTGGGGGAGTAGGGGGACTGAAAGTGAGATTTGGCTTGAGTTTGGCTCTCTTTGCTATTACTCACATTTCCCCCCAGAAGCCCTACATGCACTCCTCTCTCTCTGTCTTTGACAAATCACTTTTGAAAGATCATTGATCCCTGGCGTAAATGGTGTTAAGAGTAAGATGGACTTGGGTAGGGATGCTCAGGAATCCAGTCCTGTACAGTCATGAGCTTGGCCATCTGGAAGTCTCCTCTTGCTCAATGAAATGGAGTAAACATTGTCCATTATGAAATCCACCACACAGGCTGCCAGGGACGAATGGGATCCCACCCAAAGCCAATCGCTGCTCTGACAGGGAAATTGGCTAGCACTGCCTGAGACTACTCCAGCCTCCCCCGTCCCTGATGTCACAATTCAGAGGCTGCTGCCTGCTTAGGAGGTTGTAGAAAGCTCTGTAGGTTCTCTCTGTGTGTCCTACAGGAGTCTTCAGGCCAGCTCCCTGTCGGATGGCTTTTATGAAAAAATATCTCCTCCCCATTCTGGGGCTCTTCATGGCCTACTACTACTATTCTGCATATGAGGAATTCAGACCAGGTAAGTACCCATATGTCTCACTTTGGAGGAATAGGTTTTAAAAACACAGGGGTGCTTAGTGTTCCTGAGGACCAAGATGGTTCTTGATCCTCAAAGTTGGTGAAAATGAGGGAACCCTGAGGTAAAACAGTACTTTTGTGTCCTCCAGCTACAGGCTGTGGGCAGGGGGGAATGTGTAGGGAGGGTAATCGTGTAGCCAAAATCTTGCCAAATAGGCCATGCTTTATTTGGCACACTTAATGGAAAGCAATTTCAAATATTCTACAAAAATGAGAGTAATACCCAAATTCACAACTCAGCCAGCTAATTGGGCTCTATGAAGAGACTGATAAGTGGGAGGCAAAGAAAAAAAAAAAATCTCTGGAGATGATGACTACATAGAAGTGAGGGAAAATCCCTGGAATTTCTATGAACACATGTGTTTTGATTCCTTGTTAAATATACTTTCAATTGAGCAAAATTGAAAGAGTCCAGAAATGTCTGGAACTCCAGCATTTTAGCCGAACCATGTATGACTTTTCTGGCCTCATCCTATGATCTCTTTCCATGGAGGTTTTTAGAAATGACAGTAGGGAGGCTGTCAGCCCAAACCTCCCACTTCAGAGCATGTTTATGAAAGACGTGGCCTGTTCCCACAGTGATTTACACAGTTTGTGACAAACTGATCTGGGCTCATAACCTTTAAGTTACAAATTGAGATAAGCCTGCCTATATCCAGAGAGGGAGAAGGAATTTTGCTGCCAACTTGAGTATGGTCCTCACTTCCTTTTGGGGTTCCTCAGAGATGCTCCAAGGAAAGAAAGTGATTGTCACAGGGGCCAGCAAAGGGATCGGAAGAGAGATGGCTTATCATCTGGCGAAGATGGGAGCCCACGTGGTGGTAACAGCGAGGTCAAAAGAAACTCTACAGAAGGTGAGGGTTCCATGCCCGCAGATACATGTACCCTCACATGCCCAGATGTGTTCTTATATATGCTCACATATACACAGAAGCTAGCATATCGCAGATCTATATACAGATGCACATGCACACACACACACACACGCTTAATTTTGTACTCTCATATATAGATTCAAACACCAAAAAACCCACAGGAATATAAAAGTATGCATTTAAATATTCATTTGTGTGTGTGTGTGTGTGTGTGTGAGAGAGAGAGAGAGAGAGATATTCTGCAACAGAGTCCTTGAGCTATACATGCTCACAGACATGCCTAGTCACACACATTTACACATTGAACTACAGATACATAGAGATGTTTTCAAAAACTGAAATCCCAGTACCTGCTCATGAATACGTATCCTCATACCCATGCAGACTCCCAGGCACATGCCCTCTCATAGACTCACAAACCCAAAGATGTACAAACATTCACAAACCTAGAGCTACCCACATAGTAACCAACATCTACACTCATATTGCCTTCAGAAATACCTATTCACAGAAGCCATGAGCATAAATCATGAACTTAAACCCCAGCACTGTGATGATTTATTCACTTAAATCCCACCGTGTTCCAGAAAATATTTCAGAGAGAGGACGATGATCATGAGGGTTATATTCGGCAACGCACACACAAACATACTTACCATTTCTTACCTAAACAGGGCTGTGAGCAATCTCTCATTTAAGCCCCCCATTACTTCAGATACCATGCCCCAAAAGTCTGCAGCTAAGACTGATGCCATTTCTGCTTTGTCATTGCAGGTGGTTTCCCACTGCCTGGAACTTGGAGCAGCCTCAGCACACTACATTGCTGGCACCATGGAAGACATGACCTTCGCAGAGCAATTTGTTGCCCAAGCAGGAAAGCTCATGGGTAAGGCTGTTTCTCTTCCCTCCTCCTCTGAACTTTGCCCCTGGGGTCACCAAAGAGCTTTTGGGAGGAGAATGGGAAAGGAGTCAACCCCAAATGATTTCTTAATATAGCCATCTCTTGCAGGAGGACTAGACATGCTCATTCTCAACCACATCACCAACACTTCTTTGAATCTTTTTCATGATGATATTCACCATGTGCGCAAAAGCATGGAGGTCAACTTCCTCAGTTATGTGGTCCTGACTGTAGCTGCCTTGCCCATGCTGAAGCAGAGCAATGGAAGCATTGTTGTCGTCTCTTCTTTGGCTGGTGAGTGGGAGAGGGACCAAAGTGGAAGGTAAAAGAAAAAAAAATGCCAGGGATGATGCTAGCCTCTGAAGTAGACATAAATTTTTATCAGTTTCCGTGCAGAGAAGTAATAAGGGATTGGTCAAGGTAGGTAGGCTACAAAATTCTTTTAAGTAACGGAGAAAAAGCAGCAGCTCAGATTGCCCATTGGAAGCCTGAATTGTTTTCTACAAAGGAAAGTCAAAGGGACTTGAGGGGCTGCTGGAGGTACAGCCTGTTCTGGTCCTAAGGGAGAGGCCTAGTTACAATATTAACTTGAAGTTGAAATGTTCATAGTAATATTAAACAAAAGCTGATTAACAGCTTACTCATACGCATGAACAGGCAGATGTACTGATAAGAGACTTGCAGGGGGATGATTTGTGGACTCAATGAGAGGCACGTATCCCGAGTAAAGAAGACACTGTTACAAACTAGTGACACCATAAAAAAATGAGGGATTGGTCAAGGTAGATGGGCTACAGAATTCTTTTAAGTAACAGAGAAAAAGCAGTAGTTCAGAGTGCCCGTTGGAAGCCTGAATTGTTTTCTACAAAGCAAGGTTGAAGGGACTTAAGAGGCTGCTGGAGGTACAGCCTATCTTGGTCCTAAGTGAGAGACCTAGTCACAATGGATAAAAAGGACTTTGCTTCCTCCATAACCAAAAACCATAGGTTGGTGAAGTTATATAATGTGAAGGTAGAACAGAGAAGTGAACTATTTCAACAACACACAGTTGTCTGATAAGTGGGCTAAGCTAAAGCTAAATAAAATGAACAACAAGAAAAAAAAAATGAACAGACCTGCCTATACTGGGTGTATTCTCCAAAATCTGAACATGTTAACATGAAAAGATCAATTTAAACAACCAGCTGGGTAGGGAGGAAATGTGTCCAGGGAAATATTCATGAAAAGATCTCTGTGGGATCAAGAGAGGTCCCTGGTGTTCTGGATGGTGGTAGTATCAGAAGCCATCACCAGTAAAAAAAACCAGTGAGTTCCCAGCTCGGGACATTTCTAGGCCCGTTTTTATCATAGATCCAGGAGACAAGTTCCGCACATCTTTGTTGATTAGTCAGTTAGAAGGAAAGTGCAAACACCAGGATCAAAATCTGCCATCTAAGTGTAGTTCCTGGCAAAATAAAAACAAATAACCTAGAGGACTCTGTAAACTATTAAGCACTTCACAAACATTCTTACTGAAACTAATAGCACCATCTGTGTTGTAAAGAGTTCTCCTTTCTGGCCCAGGGAGGGCCTGCATAGTGATTGGATAAAGGGGCAGTGTGTCTGTGCTACCCACCAAACAGAGTGATTGATATGCATCCCGGTGCTTCCCAGACAACACAGACTCCCCACCCCTCCCCAGACACAAATTCTCTCTGGGCTGGAAGAAAGGGAGAGCTTCCGGATGCATACTGAGTGGGAGGGTGCTGGGCACATCCCCAATCCATCCCAGGGCATTGGCCAAACTTCTCACATCAGTCATGATGTAGGTGGCTTTAATGATTTCAGTTGATTAAATAATACATTGACTCTAGGCAAAGGATGTATTTCACCTTTGAAGAATGTAACTTTCTAGAATGTACCCATGATCTAAATGTGCTCAGAAGGACTAAGAATTACTGTTGAGCCCAAGGACATGATGAAATTCCGATAATCTCTGTTTCCCTGTATCTCCTACACTTATTGAATGAAACTTGGTAATTTCCATGAACTATGGGAGGCGGGAAATCTAGCTGGATGAGTATCTTTGGTGTTTATTGTTTGTGTAGCCAAGATTCCAACTTTTTTGCCTTGAAACCTGTCTATCAACTTGCAAAGTACAGACACATTGCTGTCTTGCCGCAACTGAAGAATATTCTCTGCTTTATGATGTATTCTTTTAATCAGTCAGTAAACATGTTCATTAATCCTTCCTCTTTAAAATCTAAACTCTATAAATATGGGATGCTAAACATCAAGTTGATCTTAAGGTCAGCCAAACAGTACTGGGATGGAGTTTTAATCATTTCTTCTAGGGAATACATTAAGTTGTTTATTGAGTTTCAGTGATAAAGAATTGTTTTTATCCACAATGCATTTCTGGGTATTGCATTACATGGGAATGCTATACTTCTAATATGTTCCTTAAAGGCTTGGTTATCTCTGTAGCATTAACAGAGACAATATTGCTGCTTCTGGGAACCTCCTTGTAGTCCACATCTGTCCACTATTCACGACCTTTTCTTGGCAACCTATTGAGCAAGTTTCTTGTATATGTAACATCCTGTTACATTGATTAGCCTCCTCTCCTTCCACCACTTGCTAGTTAGGATGTAAGTTCAGCTACTGTAACAAAGACCCGAATTTACAATGGCTTAAGCAAATCTAAATTTATTTATCTCACACAAAACACGCTGGATAGACATTCCAGGGTGGATAGGACAGATACAGTAGTTCTGTCCCATGAGGCTGTCCAGGAGGCCTTCTATCTCAGAACCACCAGTCCTAGAGTGCTTGTTTACAACTGCGTGTTCAAGATGGCTCATTGGCATCTCTGAATTCTAACTCAAGAAAATGAAAAAATAAGGATACCACCTGGAAAGTGTACACTTTTCTTCTGCCACAGCTGGCTGCAATTGTTACCTTTATTCAAAGGGAACATGTGTCCAACTAAAAATCAGGAGTTCTATTTCTGTAAAATACACTGACATTGATAAACAACTAGCAATCTCTCCCACATCAGCCATGCTAAAAAACACATAAGACTAGAAAAAGAGTATGCCCTCCAGGCCATCCCACATATGAACCACACACACACATACATACATACACACACACACACACAAGACTCATTCCCTCCACATGCAAGGTCCATCACAAAAAACAAAGTCCTTCCATCAGGCAGTGCGTGCAGGGCACAGTGGGGTAGGAGAAAGAATGGAAAGAGAGTACCTATATAGTATTCATGAAACCAACTGAAGTAGAGATATTAATACCTCAATTTGACTAAAACATCACTGGAGTGGGCAGAGAACATTTGAAAACATCTGGAAAAAAAGTTTATCTGACATTAGTCAAAATAGGTCATCTTAGGTTCAACATTAGAAAAGTAAAGTTGGTTTCATTTTCGGGCTCCTGGGCTTGGTGAATCCCATCAATGTGGCATGTGTCATCAGTTGCACACATGGCAGCTAGAACTGAGCATCTAAGGCCATTTCTCCACCTGCTTTATGCCCCTGAGAGGAATCATGGACAAACCCTGTCTTCCTCTGCTCCTTTCTCCTCTCAAAATCTACTTAGCCCACTACCTCCTATGAAGTCTTTTTCAGAACTCACCAGAGCCATTTCAATGTTTCTTCTTTGTCTTTATCTACTATATTTTGGTAAGTTAACTTTAGAAATCTGACTTCCTCATCATTTCTCTTTTTTGGGTTTATTGGTAATTCAAATACAACTAATACTACTCATAACTACTAATAACACAAATGTTAAACATACTCGGCAAGCATATGTGTAGGGATAGTAATCCTTCTGGATCGAGGAAAATGCAAGGTATATTTTGAAGTGAATTTGGACATCATAAAAGACTCAGTTGCTTTAAATATTCAAAATGAAAATAGATCAAAAGGAATAAAAGAACCTTGTCAAAAACTTTTGAATGTTCAGACTTCTCTTGAGAAGCTCCATAAAGCGTCTCCAGTTAACTATTCACCTTTCTCCAAGTAAATCTTTTTAAAAACTCAGCGTTCTCTCTATATAGATAGTCTTATTCAAATGTATTCCTTTTCTGTTTTACTCATTCGCAGCATTGTTTCATACTGTTTTTTAATGTACGTGTGCAGTCTTTCAGGCACTTTGAGTTGACTAGCCAGGGGCAAACATTCATAAGACAGTGCTTTGTGGGAAAACTCAAACCAGCAGATGAAGTCACTGGCTGGATCTTAACCTATTTGTCAGTGGAGGTCTGCCTGTGTGGTCTAAACCTGTTTCAAAAATTCAACATTATGAAGAGGGGAAAAAAAACAGGTTTTTCAACTACACATATCAACTAACAGGACTTGGAAGACCTATAGCGATGTTTTGCATAGACAAGGATATACACATGTTAATGTCATCCCCGCCTTCAGTTCAGTTCTGGCATACCCACTCCTTCCTGAAAGGTGGGCCAGTGTCTCAATGTATGGCTATGCCTTGGGGTATTGGGGGAAGGGGGAACCCAAACTCTAGATTATGAACGGGCCTCAGAACTAGAGTGGAAAGGGGCAATTTATCCCTTGCCACAATTGTTCTCATTTTTCTAAGAAAAGATGCCTCTTTACCCTTAAATCCAATTACCTCAGAAATAATCTTCAGGAACCAGGATTTCTGAGGTGAGTGGAAGTGTTTATCCATGTGAACGTAAGCGTTTACATGAGGGATGGGGAGCCGCGACGGCCACACAAGGTTGAACTGTGTGTTGGGGGATGGGTAGAAGTATGCAGAGGTGACGTATGTGTGTATGTAGACGTGTCATCCATAGGGCCTATAAGAATGCCAAGAAGGAGATCAGAGATCAGAGTAAAATCAGCAACCTGGGCATAAAAATTCCAGAAAATTTGTTCTATAAAATGTAATCATTGTTGCCTAACTTTAAGAGATCGTGTTTGGGCAACACTGGGAGGATTGAGACAGAATCTGCTAGATTTTTCTAGGAATTCAATTCTGCATCTGCCCCCAAAAGAAAGGAGTGGGGGAGATTTGAAAGGGAGGAAGACTCTTTGATGAAGACAGTGACAATTTAGTGCAGGCTGAGAATAATACAATGCTATCCATAATCACTGTTACTTCGTGTTTTCTTCTGGAAAGGCTAGGTAGTCGAGGTTACTTATGTCTGCTAGACCACAGGTTTCATTCAAGTGCACTTGTGGATGGAAATAGCAAGGTTCTACCATCATTTGTGTCTTTATGTCTCCTTACCAAGGAATTTGAGAAGGCTTACAACAGATACATTCTATCTG